CATTCGTGACTCGGTACATTATCTTCCTCGTGCTGAATTTTCAACGATTGCATGCTGGTGAACTTGTAGTACGTTGAAAAGATGTTGCTGATGAGCATACCTTACTGTCGTTCTTCTGATCAGTACCAGTGAAGAGAACACAGGAGACCTGAACTGACTTGCATGAGTGGACTTGCTGTTTTGCGCCTTTCCTGTAGATTGTGAAGGCACAGTGATGAACAAAATTTATCCGTGTTTCAACTGATCCTTAGGGACTGTGATGCACATACAGTTTGTATTCCCTGACAAGCCTTCCACACACCCTTCTGCCTCTTTTTGCATGTGTGGAAGTGAAGAGCAAGTGGTGTTGCCGCTGCGTATTGCCACAGAGGCGGCCTCTTTGCAAGTACCCGGGGCAGCCTCTGCCATTTGCAGCGGACACTGTGCCTTATGGCGGACCGTATAGGAACCTTTCTCTGAGAGCCTCATGTGAGGGGAGAGGGCTGACAGCGTGTCCACATATCACATCATCATTCGCATTCGTGACTCGGTACATTATCTTCCTCGTGCTGAATTTTCAACGATTGCATGCTGGTGAACTTGTAGTACGTTGAAAAGATGTTGCTGATGAGCATACCTTACTGTCGTTCTTCTGATCAGTACCAGTGAAGAGAACACAGGAGACCTGAACTGACTTGCATGAGTGGACTTGCTGTTTTGCGCCTTTTCTGTAGATTGTGAAGGCACAGTGATGAACAAAATTTATCCGTGTTTCAACTGATCCTTAGGGACTGTGATGCACATACAGTTTGTATTCCCTGACAAGCCTTCTACGCACCCTTCTGCCTCTTTTTGCATGTGTGGAAGTGAAGTGCAAGTGGGAGTGTCGCTGTCTCATCCCACCGGGGCAGCCTGTGGCATTCGCGACAGAGAATGTGTCTTGTGGAGGACCGTACAGGAGCATTTCACTTAGAGCCCCATTTGAGGTGACGGGGTTGACCGCGCGTCGGCGATGCGGCAGACTGCATGGCTAGTGCGCTGCGACTGCCACTCCGCTCAGCCTACCGTACCTTGAACTTTTCAGTTTTTTTAACGTCTTTTGGCTCTTGACGGCGGTCTGTTGCTAACCCAGTTCGGCTGCTCTGCCACTGCCGTGAACGTTGGAAGACTAGAACCGTGTAGGTCACATTTAGAGTTGCTGACTATTCATTTGGGGAGCATACTTTGCGAATAGCTAGACGGGTTTCACCAGCACCTCTTGTCGAGGGAGCGCTACAAAGCTTGAATTACACGACACCTGGAGTTACGTCGGTTTGCTTGTTCGGTAGCCTGGTGCGTAGACACTTGAATTATGCTCAATTTTACGGGAAAATGTGTTCTTGTCGCTGCGCTAGCGAGCTATCGGAAGCTCGCGACTGCCATTTGTTCGGATATAGAACATATCTGATAGCTTCGTCCTCCACTTATGCGAGGGCATAGGCTGGAGGTGTCTCGTTCGTCAAGAGCACGCAAGCGGCACAGAAAGGTCATGAAGACGGCTGCTTGCCTCGAGACGTGGGGCATAAATGAGCCTTCAGCATCTCAATGACGGAAGGAATGCTGGTAAGAGCTCTTCTGCGTTCCGAACTGCTGACTCGAGGGTGGTGCAATGTTGTTGAGTCTTCTTTCTGACCCGTTAGGTACTGTTTGCCGGCGAGTGCCAATTTTCGACCGTCCCCTGGAATGAGTAAAACTTTGAATTCCGTGGGCACTGCCATTTGCTTTGCTTCTGATGACGGAACAGGCGGGCCTGCGGCAGTACTTGCCGGCGTTTTTGTTCCATCCTCAAGCACTAGGTGCTGTTGCACTCCTGTGACGAATATCACTGCCTTTGCTCCTACGGACCTTGCGTGCTTGATGGCAGCTCGCTCAGACCTTTGAGGTGGCAGCAGTAACTCTACGCGGAGCCCCAGGGCTCGCAACTTGCAGCAAAGTTGCTTTGCCGCCACTGACTGCCAGTCTGGGTCGCCTGCTGTTGATGGTGCTGAATGGCACAGCTCACCGCTCGAGCTGTCGTCCGTTTCAGCAAGTCTCTGGTCGCCACTAGGCGCGTAAAACGGAGAGACGCCGGAAGCTTCCCCAGCATGTTGGGATGCTGGACTTTGGCAAATGGCCACAATAACATCAACAGGATATACGGCGGACGGCAGAAGACCTTTCCTCTGCAACAGCTCCATCAGCACGCAGTCCCCCATACCTAAACCAACGCCAGTGACAGCACTCCTACTACTGAGCGCGTTTGTGTTCAGATCCATCTCCTGCACTTCCGGGTTCTCTGTACAAAGCGAAGGAACTTCGGTTCCTGTAGATACCCCAGCCGATGGGTACTCCGTCTCTCCGTAACATCCCCCACCTAATAGGGCTCTGAACACACCCTCGGAGTCAAATGCTTCAAACACGACACCCGTGTAATAGTGGAGGCCCCGAACTATCAGAAGATCCACGTCCACCCAATCTCCTATTCCGTACCCTTCTCTCAGCAAGTGAACCACGCTTTGTAGATCACTCACCGAGGTGGGGAGAGGACCAGGAAGCACGTCTCCCCCTTCTGAGGGTTTCTGACTTCTCATAATGCCAAGCTTGCCGTCACGTCCGTGTTGCGTGCCGTTGCCTTCGCTTAGCCTTTGCAGCTTTCTACCCAATTCACGCACCACTGAATCATTGTTTATGTCAAACGAGAGAAGCCGCTGAAGAATGAGGTGGGATTTCTCAACGGTAATGCCTAACCCATCGGCTAGTGCATTTTCTGTCTCTTCTTGGCTTCGCCTTGAGGCTCGATCGAGGACCTGCATTGCGGTTGTGAGCCTTTGTTGGAATGTGCAAGCATCGTGCGTTGGAGATGAGTGCAATGCGGTGCAGGAAGGAGTCCCGTTATCCAGCGCCTGGTTATTTCTCACAGTGGTGGAAAAGCCTGCCCCGGTACTCCTCATTTCTTCTTCTGTCCACAGGAGATCTCTCAACAGGCTCCGGCTCCCGACACGAATTCGCACATCCCGCGAAGAAAGGCCTAGCTTTTGGAATAAGCGAACAGCAGCCGCTATCAATTCTGCCACTGCAAAGGAGCAAAAACCAGCGGTTCGGGACCCCATTTTGTGCTGTTGCTGGTGGTTCGGACTTCCATTTGCCTGCTGCGCTGCGCCCGCTGTATGAGGATCCGTGAAGGAGTTTCTTCTGCGAAGAACGGGAAGTGCTATGTCAAGATTCCACTGGAAATGCTCGCGACGGCGCCCACAACAGGGCCTCTCGTGACGCCAAACTCTTTCAACCGAATACCAACGTCGAGCAATCCCCGAAGGGTGCTGTTGCTGTTCTCGCAGAAGCATGCGGGTTAAGGAGGGCGTGAGCTCGGGACGAAGGCAGAGACAATCTGGACCGTCACCCTGCAACATATAAATGTGGGGGGGAAGAGACACCGCTGAAGAAACAGATTTCCCCTCTAATGAAGTCGCTATGGGTGATGATCGTGAAGAAGGGGGCAAGGAGCGGCAGAAAGGCGAATAAAGCGAAAATCGTTCCACCGACGGACCCTTGTACTCCAAGAAGCCAAATTCAGCGGCAACTTCGTGCCAGCAAGAGAAGATATGCTTGTGAATAGCAAGCACATCAGGAGGAAAATCGCGGAAACCCCGAGGAGGCAACAGGGCATTTGTAGGGATGCTCTGAATGGGAGTTTGTTGAGCGCCTCTCTCAACGTCCTGAGCAGAGGATGATCTTTGACTCGCATTGACGAAGAGTGGCTTCTCCTTGGTACGCGAAGTTAGTGTGGGAGGAGACTGCTTGGCGGCATCCGAAAAAGCGGATGCACTGCTGCGCCCATCTTCATGTTGCTGGAGGTAGGGCTGGGCACTACTAGGAACTGCAGCAAATTTTCCCGCGCGGACAAATGAAACGCAAAAAGGCCGCCTGGAAACAGCTCCATTGAAGGCCCCTCTGCTGTATCCACCACGTCTGTTGTCCATATTGCATGTTATTGCTTGGTCGAATTGTGGAGCGGCCCCGGTCGAGGCAAACCGCCCCAGCTGGCCTGCCAATGTTTCCCACACATAGTGCCACCGTCCTAGTCGATGGGTAGGTAGTAGAAAGGAGGCCCCCACACTTAGGGACGCCTGACCAAGTCCGAATAGTAGCCACACCCAACACCGCATACCAGTTATGGAAGCGCCACCTGTTGCGCCTCCAGCAATTCAACTCCAGTGGGGTTAGTTACCCGAAATCTGTGGCTACAGCCTCATTGCAGGGACTGCATCCAGTTTTGACTGCAATAGTGTAGTCCTGGAATTTCCTGCACAAGGCGTCAAGAGGGCAAGGCTGAGTAGTGGTGAGCGTTCACAAATATCATCTTTTTGCAGGCTGCGTTTGGCTGCAGTACTCCGCCAGGTTGTCTTCGCGTCGCTTGTAAACCATATTGGTACAAACCATTTAAACTAATCATTATGTGGAGTAGAGGAAACATTTCTGCACAAAATTTGCGCGGGAAACAGAGTCCACACAGGTGGCTGGCGAGCGCTGTTGTATAGCCGCAGGGGACCTACAGAGTTGTTGTCGAGGGAGCCCCCAAGAAATGAGAGTTCTCCCTGCATGCCAATTCCGATTGTGGAGGAGGTCTATTTAATAATAGTGTCAATAAGAAGAAAATGCGTCAATGTTAACCACAACGAAGCTGTCCGTCTCGTGTTTGCCCTGTCGGCTCTCGAACTTCAGCAGCCCCCTAGCCTGTATGCTATTAGCGTCCCCAACAAATGTTAATTCATTTTCGCGCATCACCTCGTATCGTGAAGTGTATGACTAACTAATGCATGAGGGGCATATGGGGGCTGGAGGAGGACCCGTTTCCAGCTGTGGTTTCGTCACGCGGGTCAACTAATCCTTTGGCGCAGGCCGCTTTAATGAGCAACACAGAGAAATGTCGCACATGCATTTTGGTCGAGTAGTTCCAATTACTTTCAGGCGATTTCCAACGCTGATATGCCACAACCTACAGGGTAGGACCGTGAGGGTTCCCCACGATCTTCAGGGCCAGCTCAATGTTCTAGTGGTGGGATTCAAGGCCGCTCACTATGATGATATGAATTCTTGGATACCTTTTACAACCAAATTAGAGAGAGAAATTAAGGAGAAGCACAACCTTGATGTGTCTGAGGTTCAGTCCTACAGGTTAGTCGTAAGGTAAGGATGATTCTCCGTTTACCATTTATTACGGGCGCAAACAGGTCTTGTAGAATCTGTGCGAATGAAGAGATTTTCAACTAACTGAAAAATTCAATTACATGCTTGCTGTTCCTTATTTGTCAGGCATCGAGCGGGTGTGTTCTTCCGTTGGTGGACAGACGAGAGGTTGCGCTTCGCAATAGGCACTGGATATTCCGAGCCAAACGCACATTTACCCCAAAGTGTGGGACAAAAGGTGGGATGCATGCATATGGGCGGCGCCAAAGGGGCCCTTGGTGCTGAGGGTGAGCAACAATCACGTGTCAAGGTCGAGTCGGCTGACAGCTACTATGCGGGCCAATCACCCGAAGGAATTCGTCTAGCTAGACTTCAAGAAATCCGCTCTCGAACTCTAGTTTGTTTTACTGATAAGAGTGCATTTGTGGATACTCTGCAGCTGGCAGACGCTCAGCGGGTTTACATCTTTCTCTTAGACAAGGAGGGCGATATCGCATGGTGTGAGCATGAGCAATACTCCGCTAGCAAAGAAGTGGAGATTCGTGACCTTTTGCAGTTACCGAAGGCAGATAGTTCAGCCCTGCTCACCTGCTCAGATGTGAGTCCGCGAAGGACATTTCTACCTTTTGCAGACGGTAGTGCGGGTAGTCACGACTAACAAGGAGTTAGGAGTGACGATGGGCTATTGACGGCTTAAAGATTCCCCGTACACATAATATCAGTATGTGCAGAATCCGTAGTTATTCAGCCATAATATGGTTACCAGCACTGTAGTTCGACAGAATCATTCCACGGAAGCGTGGTTTCGAAATCTGCGCTGTACTTGGCAAGTTACTCAAGGGGCAATGGAGAAATATCTATATCCAGCCAACTTCAAAAGCTAGGGTCAACTAGAGGTTTGCAATTTTCTTCATCAGCGCTATGGAGATCTTCTATGAGTTGACAAAAAGACAATTAGGATGGGTCTGTGTCTGTCGCCTTGAGCCACACTGTTGGCAGTTTGGCTAGAGGACAGAAGAATTATCGTCAGGTCCGTGAAGACAGTGTTCCACTCATTGGGAAGATTGAAGTAGCATTAACGGTGGAGGAGTTTGATTAGTAAGAGTGCTCAGTCAGTGATTTCCTCTTGGCAGTCACCTGTGGCTTGGAAGGAGTGAATGCGCACCTCAGCTGGCATTCTGCTGTGGGCGATCATCGTAAAACACCAACCAGCAATAGGATGGCTACCGTCGAGACGCACCTCTTCCTAGGGGGTGAGCACTCGCATCGGTCCAGATGATTTTGTGGGAGTTCGCAAACGGCGCTTCTGTCCTCATAGAGTGGCAGGAAGCTTTTCATTCCCGTAGAACTAAGGAGGTTGTGCGGTGTGTCTTCCGTCAAGGAGGTGCATGCCAGAATGCAAAAAGCAACCACCCTGCCTTCCGTTGCAAACGCAAACGTGAGTTTCTTGGTGGCGCAACACCTTGTGAATCATGTTTCAGTTCAGATTCTCTGGATGCTTTACTGGGTAGGAAAACCACGTTTTTCTGCGTCAGCGTGTCTGGAAGTGAGTGGTTCCAGCCTCTCCGTGCTACATTGAAAGCAATGGAAGTGTACGACGGGGGATTGATGCAGCCACATCACGTATAAGATAACGTTCATCCCATTTGTTCCCTGTATTCTTTACCAATGGAAAACTCTGAAACCTTGCATCCCACGTAGAGAGCCCCCTTCGCTTCCAGGTAGGCACCCAACTACCATATTGAGGTCATTTTTGCATGGGTGCATTGGCTCGAATTGACTACATATCACAAATTGTGCAGATCATCACACAGTGCAGATCCCTCAGTGCCTCTACGCGACTTCTTTCAAAACGGAGACATCCCCACGTGGGGTAGTCCGTGGGGTGCTCTGAATCATTCGGGGTGCATCCTTCGGCATTCTATCAGCAATGTTTATCTTTGCGCTGCAGCTCGGCAAATATCTGATGAATGCACTTTTTTGGGCGTCTTCCCCCCCGTTAATGCAAAAACATCTGTACATGGAACAAGTCTTCCAGGAAAAAAGAATCATTTAGTTTGGGCGAGATCCGTCAGAGGATCTGCGTGGGCCGCTGAAGCACACGTTTCTTCTCTTTTCACGATGCTGGGGTGTACTTACAGCTTTTTCCTTTACTTTGGGACACTTCGTCTGGTAGTATGCAGCTGTTGGGACACTTCGTCTGGTAGTATGCAGCTGTTACCGTCGTGCAGTCTCACTGAAGCGCTAGGACCGTTGCTGCGATCCTCTTTTGTGCAAGAGTGGCAGTTGTTGCTCTTAGCTATACACTCATGCTTATTCAATGTTCTATTGAGTTTCCAGAGGCTAGAAACTTTTGTGGCATCTGCCGTACTTAGCTTTTCGGCCCTTGCAGCTACATCTGATAACTCGAGCAGATCTAGCGGATTAATGTTGCTGCCTGCCTGGAGTTTATGGCATGCTGCCTCCGGAAAGTGCTTGGAAACAGATGAAAGAGGAAAACCAATTAGCTCACTTCTGTTCAGCATATTGTGCTCATCTTGCGATGCTGCGCGCCCTTCAGGAGGAACAAGATCAGCTAATGGCAGCCATACGTTCCTCTGTTTAGGCTGCCCAGGCTGCAGCATGCAGCATGAGGAGCACATGCAACAGGTGAAAGCTTCCTCGACTTCGTGCAGTTGCGTTTTGGCAGGAGCAGTCTTCGACTGAAGTTGCTCCCCCTTCTGGAAATCTCGAAGCATCGTCGGCGTCCCCGGCGCAGCTTTTCGTTGCAATGACAGAGTATGCTCACGAACATACACCTCAGTTATAGCGGGGTTTCCCCCCACAGGGTGTAACTCTCCCTGCTTCCCCAGAAGGCGCGTGTCTCCAAGTGAAATCGCAAAGGCAGTCTGCGCGCATGCAGTTGACACGACGTCAGCTACTCAAGAGTCAACAACTTTTCCTTGCTGATGAGTTGCTACTGTAGTGTCAGTGGGCTCGCGGGCTCGAGGAGTGGTCGGGACAGTCCTTACACCAAAGAACTCCTCAAGTGTCACCTGGACCCGCCTGCAATATTTCACCAGTGGGCAAAGCACATGCAAAACATATTCGTCAATCCTAGTCCCACCGTGAATTTGTCACACATCTTTTTCACAATAGTATAGTAGTAATATTGTACGAATAGACTATTGTATCGGGTGCTGTATGGGGTTAGATTAGAAGGTCTGCTGTAACAGTAGCTGTTACCATTCGACAACTTGCACGAATGCGGACTCTGCCTCTACCAGGTCTTCAACTGGAACCCCACCAAGCTGTCAGCAAGCAGCATGAACATCTCGCATACTAGCACAAAATCTATCTTTGATTCAAATAACGAGAAATACTGGCGGCTTTTCCATTACTTAATGAAATTCAGGTGGCAGCCGTTTTGCTGTGACAATGCTTCTACTATAACACGCTTGGGGCATTAGCTGTATTCGTCTTGTCTGTCCGCATGTGCCACTGCCATGTGCGGCAGCTAGTTTATGATTATTATTTGGTTTAATACGCCGCGTTGTAGTCTCCACTTTGTTTTATGTGCGGTGCAACTAATCTTCGCCTGCTGTAACTTCTTACCTGAGCCCAGTGCCTGATGCTTGTGTGGTCGTCCCTATGCGTTTTCCTTGCCAAAAATGCAGCAGTCAAGAGCAGCCTATGGGCAGTCAAGTAGTTGAACTCTATGTAGCCAATGCGAGCTGCGGTTGCTGCAAAGCCTTCATTGGTTGGTGCATCCCTGAATATCGCCGACCCAGGACGGGCATCCTTGTCGCAAAGTGTTGTGTCCCTGCTAAAATTATTGAATTGTTGTTGCTGGCGCTGCTGGTGGCTGTTTTCGAGGAGTGCAGCAGAAAGCAAGGCATTTTGCTTGCAAAGGAACCGGCTGAGAAGAGCAATAGCCATCACTCCTTCATTTATAGTTTGTTTCCCATGCCGGAAAATACGTTTCACCAAGTATTCCTCAAGTCCAATATGTGGCCTGAATGAACAGTGAAATGGCGATGTAGAAAGATCGTTGACCTGTTGTAGTCTTTCGTCACTCCCAAAGTGACTGAGGGTGCAGCAAGTCGCCAGAAAAGATACAAGCGCCTTAACGCATACAAAGGACACCTCGCTATGGCGCAGCAGCGCGAACCCCTTTGCAGTATCTCTTAAATCCTCGCCTTCTCTTGCTTGTTCCCCACGATTTTGGTAAACTTCGTCATCGAATCCAGGAGTTTCAGGAGGTTCTAGGCAGCTTTGAGAAGTCTGCGCTAAGTTATGTTCTGCTCTTCCAGATTTAGCACTGCTAGCGTGCCTACTATGCGTTTCTGTTTTGCTGAACTGTTCTGCAGTAGAAAGGACCCCGCTCTGGCTGACGGGTGGCGTTGCAGCTGCGGTTGTTGCTGTCTCCCTCTCCGAGTGTCCCGCTGTCTCTACCTTCTCCTGAGCAGTATATGCAGGAGATGTTGACAGGGGCTTGGGTCCCAGGTTTGTCTGGTGCTTCCGTAATGGCGAGGAAGGGGAAATTGCCCCCAGCAATGATGGCACATGTGAGGCACAACCTAGAAACGGTCTTGGCCGCAAGCTACACTCAGCCACCAGCGGTGAATGGAAATCTGTTGCTGCTTGCCCGGTTGCTGCAACTGGATGGTGCTTGGCAATGGCAGCAATGGCAGCCGCCTTCCCTTTGTTTTTCTGTACCTCTACACGTGCGCCAGCTCCTGCGGAGGATACTCGGGCATTTGGTGCAGCAGTGGCCACACCGCTGTTCAGAGTTTTGTTCGCTCCTCTTAAATGACACCTGGAATTCGAATTCCCCGGCATTTGCGGTGTGGCTTTGTTGCTGCCAGAATGAGGGTTGGCCGTGCAGATGGCGTGAGCTAGGCGACTCTCAGCCGTCAAATGCGCACTCTTCCAGCACGTTTGAAGTTTTGGCTGTGCGATCGCACAATGCTTTATCCCTGAACCCTTTTGAGAGCCCTTCTGATGTGCTACTCGCGCTGTTGTTTGCGTCATTTCCCCACATTGATGCTCACAGTGCACTAAGGACGAGCGCAGGCGGTTTGTGAATTCACTCCTTCCGTTCCTCCTTCCGGACAAACTGCATCGTCGAATGGAAGCTTGCTGATTTTGCTGCGACTTCGAAAGAATGAGTGACAGGCGTAGTGGTGCATTCGTTGCTGATGCCGGCAATGCAGGGTTACTGCAGTAGTTTCGTGGTGATCCAATTGCCTTTAGCGGTTCAGCAGCAGCCTTTCTGCCGCGGCTACTGTTACGCGCAACCCCAATCATTCTGTTAGGAACTGCAGCTTCTCTTGAATTGGTTGCAACTTTACAATGCACGGATAATGAGGGAGACGTGCCTTCAAAATCAATTGGAGCCGTCCGTAGTTTGAACTTTCTCGCACTGCTGTAACTTGCCTGGTCACTGTCAATGCCGTGCCGGTGCTTCGTTTGAAATCGAGACATGCGTGCCACAGGTTGCGACCCCTCAAGACCGTATTGTTCGGTCTGGGATATCCACTGAGGCGACGCTACTGGCGAGAGGTTTCGTTGGGTCGGTGTTGGTAACGCAGCCTGCTTTGATTGGGATAGAGGCAAGGGAGGGTGAAGCAGAGAGGTTAATGTCATCCGGCTTGGTGCGCAGTCCAATGTTCCTAGTGACGACTTTCTACCGAAGTTTGTCTGCGAAGCAGAGCCTGACCAGAGTCTCTCCAACAGCTGAGGTCTTATAACCGTCTTACTCTGGTCTCCCACGGGCGCCGTGACGGTTGAGCTTCGTGTTAATACTGTTGTACCGTCAGGCCATGAGAGACGTGGGGTCAAGGATATTTTCCCCTGTGAAGCAGAACCCAATGCATGTGCCATTCTCTTAGGAGGGCAGACCATGGCAATCTCAGGGCTTTGCGCCGTCAGGTCGTTAACTCTCTTCAGCGACAAATCCAGATATATTTTTCCTTAGTCGGCAAGCGCAGTGGCTGTTCCCCCCTACTTCCTCTAGTAGAGGTATTCGCGTATGGTCCCTCCGATAGCGCAAATGCGTGCATATGAATCTTCCACAAAACGACTTATGCCCTCTGTGAAGCGATTCATGTCTCCTGTGAACCATGCGAGGAAGTTCATTATGGCATTTTACCACTCATTTCCCCTATCAGCAAACACCAATAGGTACACTCCCGGCAGGATCCTTTTTTGGAAGTTACGCTTCAGCGACACTTTTTATTCGCTCCCTCCGGTTTGCTCGTTCGTACCACGGTATTTGTCTAGACGGCGCTTTGTTTCCACAGAGCGAAAAACCCACAGTTTGCATTCGTTCGCACCCGTTAGTAGTATAGATACTTCGAAAATTGCAGCATTCATTGGTTAACTGTTAGGGGCGCAAGCCGGCATCGGTTTTAACCAACTCGGCCCTCGCCAGTGATATTCTTGTCAGGCTATTGTCGCTGTGCATAAACGCTATGATGATTTTCCTGAAGTTTCTAATTTCAAATTTTTTAAGTAGAGAAACCCTAGGATATGCGAAGCCGTACGGCCAGACGTTTAAAAACAAGGGAGCTGGGGAGTGGCACAGAAGACGGATGAGCAGATGTGCAGTCACCGCCTGAGCATGCAGTATGCTGTAGTATACGGATAGGTTTGCAGAAAGTTGCTTTCTTCGGCAAGCAAAGGGCTACGAGAGGAAAAGTTTGTGGATTCGCTCCATATGATGGAGATTTTGGCGCCAGCAGGAACCAGAAGCGGCCCATGTGTTGTGAAGGTCGGTGACCCCAGACACCACCGCGCCTGAACGTAGAAGAACCCCGAACGCGAAGGGGTCCACATACAAAAGACAGTATATAAAAAAGTGGATTCCGGATGCACATGGAACCTAGTTTATGCTGGGGGGAAATTCACGAAGGACAATTAACCGTGCTTGCGTCGGTGAGGAGCCCGCACACCAGTGAGCAGGCATTAGGCGTAGGCCGTAATCAGAGCCAAGGCAGGGGTGCGCTTGAGTGTGTTATCGTAGCCAAAAGCAAAAAGACATGCTTTGAGTACTCATTTTTCTCCACTTCATCCTGAATTTAATTCGTGAAAACACTCGTAGAACCGCAGACGATTGTGCTCTGTCGCCGTGAACCACGGGGCTGCCCAATATCCCGAAATGCACTGATCTTCGATATTGGATGCTACTTGCATGATACTCTTAGGGGTTTAATTAAAATAGGCTGCGGAGCTCTTCTAGAATCTCCCTGCAAGTTTTAAATGATGGTTTTATGAGCACGGCGTTCCATGTCAGCGATCATGGTTTGGTCCGCGTGCGAGTCTTGCAGATGTTGCGTGGCAGTCGACAAAGGCATACTAGGTTTTAGAGTCTTTCGCCTGTAAAAACAAGTAATATATTCTTCCTTGCTTGCGCATATCCATGAATGGACCTCAGATGGTGTTACACAGCACTTCCAGGGAAATTGCAACGGCGGGACTGCATCCCCACAGCGAGGGAGTGTGACAGGGTCTGTCAGCTGTTGGTAAATGTATCTATATTTGAGCGCATATTGTCTACTATGGCCAAGTAAGTGTTCAACAAGAATGTAGAAACCCTGTACGGCGTCTGTGAGGAGTCTTCCATGGGGACGTGTTGGGTCTGCATTGTGGCAGGATGTGAGGCAGCTAGCTCATGAAGAGCACTTCCCTTTTCCACCATCTCCACTACCTTTGGTCGTAGCGCGTTCACCTCGACAATGAAGTATCACTACAGTCGAGCTAGGTCGTTGCAGTTGGCAACAAACAGTACCACCTACTGTGTTTGGCTTGAAACACAGCATAATGATGTTCTGATGCTTACACTGGAAGGAAAACGTGAACAATGTCAACTAGTTGGACAATATTTACCAGAGTTGTAGCCTTTTCTCCTGACTAAAAACGAGGCATATATGAATTTTCCTGCCGAAGGAGAGGTGACTGACGGTTTCGGTGCATTAAATGTAGCCGGTCCAGTCAGAGCTTGTTTTGCTGGGGAAATGTCTCCTATGGGAGAATTTTACCTCTGATGACTGCCTAAATATGGCGGACACCATGATGCAGGACAGTAGAGGTGTTCGTTATTCATGCCTTTATCTAAGCAAGGGTGCCTCCCTTCCCGAACAAATCTTTGCTAGTCCGATATGCATTGCGATGTGAGTTCGTTCCTAAATCTGGGAGGGAGCAGACTACACGGAACAGGGAGACCACTTAAATATAGAGCGTATGGGTATTCGGGGTGCGAAAACCACCGCAGCACACACTAATAAAAGTGAAAGCACACAACAACAGGCAAATGCAGCACGCAGAACGAAACCGCACAGGGCAGGTGATTCGTGTGCAATGAACACTCCTATATAAGTCGGAACTATCACCCCCGGAAAGCAGAGGTTTGACTACTCTGCTTGATGCATGCACTGGCACAGTCGAGGGACAATCCCATAGCATTTGGTAACCAACTTGTACGTATGTTCAGGTGCATGCAACCACGTCAGATAAGCCTTCCACCAACGAAGCTTGGTGTATGAACGGTAGCCAGATAGAACCGTTGTATGTGAATCGAATTTTATCCTCAGTTCAAGGTGGTTTCCAGCGATACGGAACTTCAGCAGCTAGTTTGCGCAAAGACCCTCACCACAGTGTTATCCTACTTCAGCATTAAGAATGCTAGCATTTTTTTGAGGTGGTTTTCCTACTTAGTTCCAAGGTATCGCAACTGCCGGATGCTGTAGCACAGTGTGAATCTCTGCAATAGATGGAAAACTTTAAACAAGCCGGTTAGCCTGAACACATTTTTCTCTTGCACCATCGATAGTGGCAGCAACATACGCAAAGGGTTGGTGTAGGAGGAGAAATATGCTGAAGAAGGCATTTACGATTCTCCCTGAGGGGCTGGATCATGGTGACTGAGAAAAGAATTGACAAGAAGGTAGCGCTTACCCTACCTGTAATACTACTAAGTAGAGTAGAGCATAGCCTCAGAAATAGATTAAAATATTGTTGGAAATTCACGCCAACAGGCCTGCATCCAAGGATTGTCCCAATAAATGTCCGAGAAACCACGGTTTCCTCAAGAAACCTGCCGGTAGAGCCCCTCACCCTAGAGGCCATCCGAAGTCAGCTTTTGCGTGCACCCAAATCTTCCCTTGTTCTTCAGAAGCATTCAGCTTTCCTTCAATGTATCAGTTGGGTTGATGCTGCGTTGATGAATGAAGCTACTGCACCACCATGTAGCCGTTCATTATTACATCGGCCGGATGGAGAGCTGGCTGAAGCGTTCCAGAACTATAGAGTTCGGGGCGAAGTGCACAGTGTACCGAAGTCTGCCGTAGTAGCTGTTGTCTTCGACTGATGGAAGTGGGACAACTGCAAAGACGGACGCGGGACCACTGCACAGCCGCTTGTTACTCCCTCCTAACACATGAGACTGCACTCTCACTTGTGGTAGTCAGCATGTCCTCAGAAGGCCTCTTGGAAACTTAAAGGATGCGATCACTTGGGACCCTGAGATGGTGTCACTTCTCAGACGCGAGTAACATCCACATACTCAGGACCTGCTGTAGCTTGCGTTTCCAGTACAAAAGCAGCAGCTGGTCAGCCCATATTTTTAGTCTCCGCCTTAAGAGAAATCGGGGTCGTCCCTGTTTAGTCCCTTCCGCGCCTCCCCTGTGGTAGGCGAGCGCATTCCGCTTGTCTAGTTCACGTGAACTATGAGCAGCGCAGTGACGTAGAGCCTTCCTATTACAATTCATGTGGCTCTTGAATGACTCACCACTATTGCCAGCAGCAGGCTTGAAGCTAGTAGTGCATATGATCCCAGAGGC